TCTACAACTACTTCATTATTTAATCCATCCTCATATTTAAAGGCGCAAGGAACGAGTTTTGAAAACTAAAAAGAGAAGTTGTTTCACCAAGGTGACCGTTCTTATAAGTTCAGTCATCGAAAGCAAACAAAATTACATCCAAATCCAAAACTTGAATAAAACCATGTTCCTAATAATTCGAAAATACGGGAGCAGAATTTTTAAGCTACTGATATGACACACCAGTCTCAACTCTGCCATCATAACTTTGATACGGAACTTCGATCATAGGTTTTGGTACAGCACGTTCGCCAAAGTCTTCTGGAAATTTTTCGAAATCAGGACCAAAGTTGAACTTAACAACACAAGTTGGCTGGTCGGGAAGAGTGTACATTGAAGCAGCGGGGAAGTAACGACCACCACAAATATCTGTGAAAGCAACACCCTGACTAATTCCGTTTTTGAAATACGATATTTCACTCCCTGCATAGCACAAGCCATAATTCATACGTAGCTCCATGAAAAGTTTTGAAGGAACTTGTTTATATGAATAAAAGCAATTTCCCGTGAGATATAAATATATACTTAAAATGATATAGTTAATTTACACCAATTATACTTACGCACCATCACAAACATGCATATAATAAAGCAATAGACAGATTTCAAAAAAAAAAAAACCATTTACGAAATTAATTGAACTACAAAAATATTTTATCAGAAAAATCATTGGATGGGAGAAAATAAAGTGAGAAACTCTATCTATGCTGACTACTATAGTGATTGGGATCGCTCTTCGTTCCTGAAAACTGTCGATACTGATTGAGTATCTACTTAAGTTTTTCATGGTCGTGTGCCACGGAGAATAATTGCTAAAGCATGGAATCTCATCAAGTTTGGCATAAGACGTCAAATGCAATAAACTAGACTTTCCACTAACCACTAATTTAGAAGACAAATGAATAAGCAATAGTACAAGAATACGGAATTTATATTCTTAGACTACCGACCATATCGGAACCCACAATTCAAATAGGCGGCAGTTTTATACCTTTTGAACAGAACACGGTGATATATAGTTTGTCTACAAAGAGTATCAATCCCCCAAAAACACACACGAGAAGGCCCATATTTCGACATAACTAGGGTAGAATAAATCAATCTTCACACATTCAATTGCAAACGACACTCCATTTCCCATAAACCGAAGTTCTCACTATGATATGTACCAACTAAAAGAAAATGCACAATCAAGTATAAGCAAACACCAAACACACCTTAAATCAAGCAAAAATTAAGTACACAATCATCAAACCTAGGTCCACAATCCTCCTCAAGAACAGAGAACATAAAGTACTCACCCGGAACAACTTTGGGGGGTTCCTCCTTTGCATCGGGAGCAGACACGTACCGCTGCCCCTTGTGCCAAACCAAGCACCGAGGATTAGGGGCGTAGGCCCCTCCATCCGGCAAATTGATATAAAACCCTATAACATCACCCTCTTGATACCCTTCACCCCCATACTTCTCTCTCAATGCTTTGTGCACTTTACTCCCATCAATATCCCTATATCCGAAACTATTGCCATCGTATCCAACGGGTGCCTGCAAATCCCCTTTATCGGTGGACCACCCGAGCCTCGTGTGTCCCGTCTCTCCCAAACGCACCACTTTAATCTCGAAGTACCACGCGCCCTCGACCACTCCCCGCGTCGCCCTCACCATTCTGTACCCCTTTGTGCTGCTTGCGGTCGTTCTATCGTCGCTCAGTTCGACCTTCTCCGCCTTGTGGACCTTCGAGAGGCAGATTTTCGAGTCCGGGCTATCGTCGGTTTTGTCGGGGAATCTCGGGACCGGGGAAATCAACATTCTATCCTCGGCTAAGGGGTGGCCGTATGTGGGGTTCTTGGAACTGTGGCTGCTGTTTGATGCATGCTTGGTCTTCTTCTTCCCCTTTCTGGTGGTGGTGGTCCACACGTCCTTCTTCTTCGATTTCTTTCCAGATTTGGCGGTGGGCGGCTTTCCGCTCCGGGGCGGCGGAGGAACTGCATCAGCCGGCGGGGGCATTTCGGTAATTTTGCTATCAGGGGTTTCGCGTTTGGGCAGATCGGGGAGGGTCTTCTGCTTCTTCTGTGGGGGCTCCTCTTCTTCTTCCTCCTCCTCCACCTCTCCGCCTTCTCCCACTTCGTCGGTGCCAATTTCCGGTGGGAGATCGCCGGAATTCAGAGTACCGTGTTTGTCGATTTGGTCGGCGTCTCCAGGAGTTTCGATTCCGTACGAGGAAATTTCTTCGGGCGAAACATCTTCGGAGGCAGCGGCTTCAAGGTGTTGCTTGATATCTATCACGCGATTCTGTTCGGGCAACTCGGGCTTCATGTCGGGTACCACGACGGCGTTTGCCAGCGTGGCGGCGGCGGTGATCGGCGGTGGCAGGGGAGGGGAGTCTTCATCGGTGTCGTCGTCTCGGTAAGTGGCCTGTAGAGTGTCCATTGGAGTGAGTACCGAGAAAAAAGGAGAGAGAAAACGGTGGACTGGTGGAGTTTTATCTGAAAATGATTAGGCTTTATATGTAATAAAGCCCAATTGTAATAGACTTGTAATATTGGGCTTCAATTCTATAGCTTAGCCCACTAATAATAATATGTAAATCATATTTTCAATTGAAGTACGCAAAATGTCTGAAATGTCCTTCGATAAACGATTTTGTATTTCTTTTTATTGTTTCTTTTAAATTTACATGTAATCAAACACCGGTTATCTCTCCTTCCGATATATAATAATAGTTCCCGAACATGTCCAAATCGTCAAAGAATTACGAGAAACAACAAGTCAACAACCCTTGATTGAAGTGATAGGATGTTGTTTTCACCAGAATCATCAGCTTATTTTTGTTGGAACCAAGAATAACGAGACTCTGAAGAAGTTTCTTGATACTGTAGCATAAAAGTGTGAAGTTACATATTTAGATTAGCTGGTTCCTTAGTACGTAGCTCCGCGTGAAATACTGTATGTGTCGGTATGTGTCGGTGACGAACGACGAAGACGTGTGAAAGATGGTGAAGATTTGATATTGAAGATGCACACAGTCGACATTATTGTATTTAAAAAAGAAACAACTCTGACATAATCAGGTAATTCTTCGTTTCCTCGAAAAAATCAAACTCCAATAACGAAAGAAGAAATCACACCAAATCAAAAGATGTACATATTACTCAATTCACTTGCATCTAACAATAATGTTTTTGTCATAAGATAAATATTATTAGAATAATTTACATGATTGACATGTTCCACAAAATCATATAGGTAGGTGGACTTTTGAGTATCTCTCGATTTGATTTTATAGGAATTAAAAAAAAAAAAAATGAAAGTCAAAATAATTAGTACAAAAAATTGACTTGTCAAAAGTGGGATGATGACTTGAAGCTAAGAAATTTATTGCATTAAACATTTCATCTTCTTCTTCGATGACTGCCCACGCGCTTGGTTAGTGGGTCCCACCTCCTCCCACTTTCTTTCCATCTCCACCGAACCAGGCCTACCTCGCGTTTCCCATGCCTGCCTTCCCCATTCATCTTTTCTTTTTTTAATTCCTCATCAATCTTTTGTCTTACTTATTCATACATATTATATAATAATTTTTTATATATCTATATATATTTGTATGTATACATATTTGTTAAACAGCTTCATTTCATTTCATCCCCTCCTGTAGCTGCCATTTTTTTCTTCACCAGACCTCTCTCTCTCTCTCTCTCTCTCTCTAACACACACAAACATTGAAAACATATGTTTAAGAGGGAGGTGGGCCCCATGTCTCCGAGCAACTCCACCTCTACCAAGGTAAACTGTGCCTCCTTTTCTTTTCTTTTTTTTCTTTTTTAGCTCTGAATAGTTTTAATACTGCTACTCGTCTGGGTTTCTTGAATTGTGCCTTGTTCTTGGAAGATTGAAACCTTGGTTTTGTTCAAAGTTTATTTTAGGTTGTTAGCATTTCTGTTAACTGGATTGAGTTCTTTATTTAGGATATTGTTGACTAGGGTATGATTAAGTGATTAAGTAACTTTGGAGATTAATCAGAGTTACCAAATGAGGGTTTGGCTGTTGAAAGTGATGCTATGTAATCCACAATAGTTAGCTCGATTTCGGACTCGAGCTGTCGTGATTTACGAACTCAGTGCACATACTCAAATAAAAAAGTTCTGCAATTTACGTTTCTTGGTTAACTTCTGTAAATAACGAACCACCTATTATCGATTCTTAATAGGGTAATGCTAGTGTCTCGCCGGCAGAGAATGGATTTATCGATTCTTTCTCTATGTTGAATTCGGAAAAATCGGTGGAGGAAATTATTCAACAGCCTCTTCTCCATGGAATTGACGATCATCTGATCGAGTTCTCCGAGGCTCTGAGAAGTGAGTTTTTTTTCCTTTGCCGGATTACTCGTACTTGGAAATATTTAATTTGCTATACTTAGCTTATACGCGACTTGATTGGAAGTTTAAATCGATTTGGTTTTAGCTGTTGCAAAGGCACTGAGAAGGGTCACCGAAGGTAAGGCTTCTGCTCAAGCCGAAGCTGCGGAATGGAAGCGTAAATACGAACTCGAGAGACAACGCAATCTGCAGTTGGAGCAAAATGGTTTTTTTTTTCTTCCTTTCTTTTAAGTGATTCTTTTTTCTTCTTGGAATTATCTGCTGATTCTTTCCGGTGCTGTCATTAGGGGGTGATTGTACTGACGGGAGAGGCGGAAATCCGGAGGACAGAACCGTAATTTCAGATGAAAATAGTGATCAATGTGAGTTGTGCTGTGGTAAAGACGATATCTCCGCTCAAGAGGTTCTTCGAGACGGTGAACCTGATTCGAACCCCTCTTCCGTCCCAAATAAGATGATGAGAAAGGCATCGTTTAAGCTGTCATGGTACTGCAAGGGCGAAAAATGCGATCGCCACAAACACGACATCGTGTCGTTTGAGAAGGGTAATATAACAACTGCCGAGCGGAGCAGTAAACAGGTACATTCTCTATTTTCAAGATTATTACATTATATGTTCTTGATACTCAACTTTTAAACGGTACTTCGTTATATAATTTCGTTTTTCCTCCCCTAATTTTCGTTTCAGATTTCTTTGAAGTGGGAATCACCCCCTCAAACCGTGCTTATATTGACCAAGCCGAATTCTACTTCGGTTAGAATTCTATGTCTCGAAATGATCAGGTAGGATACTCAAAGACTAATTCCCGTACTTTACGTTACGCACCTTCTAAAAGGGGTTAGATTATCTATGCAGATGGTTGAACGAGCAGAAAAAGTTAAATATATACGTGGAGCCACGAGTGAAGTCCGAGCTTTTGACAGAATCTTCGTACTATAGCTTTGTACAAACCTGGCAAGACGGTAAGCTTCGTTTAGTCTCCATCGTGTAATTTTCTTACTAGGGTATTCGACATTTCTTGTCTGCTTAATACCTCGTTTTCTCACATTTCCCCAGACAAGGACGTGCTCCTCTTACATACAAAGGTTGACCTCGTTGTAACTCTGGGCGGAGATGGAACTGTTCTTTGGGTAAGTGTCCGTTTTTCGTACTTTTAATAAAAATACAAAGCTTTTATTTATTCTTATCTTAATAGTAAATGGTGCTCCTTTTTGAAATTCCCGTTTTTCGAATTTTGCAGGCAGCGTCTATGTTCAAAGGTCCCGTTCCGCCGATCGTGCCATTCTCTTTAGGCTCTCTTGGTTTCATGACTCCGTTTCGTATCCTAAATCTGATTTTTTTTTTTTTTATTAAGGTCGTGTTTATATCTTATCTATTAAATACTTCATGTCGATTTAATCTTTAACGCGATTAGACAGCGAACATTACCGACAGTATCTCAGTTCGATCCTATGTGGTCCTATAAGTATCACGTTAAGGCATCGTTTGCAGTGTCATATAATCCGTGACGAGGCTAAGAGTGAGTACGAGAACGAAGGTCCAATGCTTGTCTTGAATGAGGTGACGATCGACCGTGGAATTTCGTCTTTCCTCACAAATCTAGAATGCTACTGCGACAACTCGTTCGTGACGTGCGTACAGGGTGATGGTTTGATTCTGTCGACGACATCTGGCAGCACAGCATATTCCCTTGCAGCAGGAGGGTCAATGGTTCATCCTCAGGTATGTCTTTTTTTTTTTTTTTTTTTTTTTTTCGTGGCCTTTATTTTTCTGTTCAAATTGGGTTTTGGATTATTTAAGTATGTGGAAATAAATTTAGAAATGTGGAGTTGATTCCTTAGTAGGGGAATACAATGCATTGACTTATCATTTGGTTTCGAGTTTATCCGCGACACATCTAGTATGTCTCAAATACATCCGAAACTATGCTATTTCTTGCAAATGTCAAGACATAAGAGGGTGTTTGGCTAAGGTCTTAGATACTTAGAGGGTGTTTGGCTAAGGTCTTAAAACATCTTATCGGACATAAGAGCTTATCAGATGTTTAAAATAAGCTTAGCGAAACGGGCCCTTAGACAAATAAGCTTAGCGAAATGGGCCCTTAGACAACATTTGAGTAGAAAATTTGGGGGTTAAAAAGATATATGCCAAACGGGCCCTTAGACAAATAAGCTTAGCCAAACGAGCCCTTAGACAACATCTGAGTAGAAAATTTGGGGGTTAAAAAAATATATTTTGAAAGGGCCCAACCGGGTTCGAACCGGTGACCTCTTGATCTGCAGTCAAATGCTCTACCACTGAGCTATGGACCCATCAGTTGATAAATGTTCTCATAAAACTGTACTCTAATATCAAACATTGATGCTTATATTAAATGATTGACTATTTACTCGATTTCTGGCCTATCATAACACAGTAATTAAAATGAGTGACTCCCTAAGAGATTTCTTGCCTATATAAGATAACAATTAAAATGAATACCTAAGAGATTTCTTGCCTATTTAGTATTTATAGTCCTCTTTCTTTATGGAAAATTCGACTTAAATGAAATCTTAAAGAACACGACCAGACTCCTATTTATTTTGCTCCATGAGGTAAGGTCATTTGCATCCAAAATAACATTTGCCTTTGAACTCATATTGGCATTTAAGAGGACTTGCCTTTGAACTCATATAGATATTTAGAATATTTGACGTTAGAATATTGTTTTATGAGCATATTTGCCAACTGATGGGTCCATAGCTCAGTGGTAGAGCATTTGACTGCAGATTAAGAGGCCATCGGTTCGAACCCGGTTGGGCCCTTCAAAATTATATATTTTTTAAGAGTCTCGAGTTTCCTTTGGATGAGCTAACTCCTAAATATCCGGGCATAGTATAACTTCTAAACCCCCTAAAAGGATTACAATATTCCCTTTTTTGTTAAAATGGTGGTCTTGTGCAATAAACCTATGTCAAGAAAAGTACTAGCATACAAACTCTATAACATCAATAGCGCATTGTGGAGAAAAACTCCATTAACATGCAAAAATACACAAGGATGGAGTAAAACATTCATATCGGGTGGTCCATTCAAAATAATGGTTCGGTTTCAATAGGATTCTACTAAAATCTAACGTTACACACTTGGCAATTACACTGGTAAAATTGAATTTCTCTAATGAATGTACCTAAACTCTAAAAGGGTTAGTTTTCATGCCGCAAGGGCATAATTGTAATTTCGTAGACACGTAATTCATCCGAACCATTTTAAGAATTTGTGTTACACTCGTAAAATTGAATTCCAATGAATGTACCTAAACTCTAAAAGGGTTAGTTTTCATGCCGCAAGGGCATAATTGTAATTTCGTAGATACGTAATTCATCCGAACCATTTTAAGAATTTGTGAGTAAAGGGTTAGTTTTCATGCCGCAAGGGCATAATTGTAATTTCGTAGACACGTAATTCATCCGAACCATTTTAAGAATTTGTGTTACACTCGTAAAATTGAATTCCAATGAATGTACCTAAACTCTAAAAGGGTTAGTTTTCATGCCGCAAGGGCATAATTGTAATTTCGTAGATACGTAATTCATCCGAACCATTTTAAGAATTTGTGAGTAAAAACATATAATATAAAGGGCCCAACCGGGTTCGAACCGGTGACCTCTTGATCTGCAGTCAAATGCTCTACCACTGAGCTATGGACCCATCAGTTGATAAATATTCTCATAAAACTATATTCTAAGGTAATAAAATTAGTATCATTAATGCAAATTATTATTTATAGTTGCAAATCATAATGGTCCCTTTTTGTATTGAGTATCATGCATCAGATTGGCAAGAAATCTCAGTGTACCAGATTCCTTTTTGTATTGAGTATCATGCATCAGATTGGCAAGAAACTCAGTGTACCAGATTCTATCTATTTAGATTCCATTTAAGTCGAATCATAATAGGCAAAAAAATCTAATGATTTGAGCTAAGGAGTCTAATGATTTGAGCTAAGGAGTTCTTAAACGATTTGAATTTGATGAAAAAGATTTTCAAAATTTAATTTGAACATTTGATCCAGTAAAAAAGTAGGGTTCAACCGGTGACCTCTTGATCTGCAGTCAAATGCTCTACCACTGAGCTATAGACTCATTGCTTGTTAAATATGCTCATAAAACCATATTCGAATATCAAAAATTGATGCTCATATTACATGTTCTATATGAGTTAAAAGGCAAGTGATTGTAAATGCCAATTGTTATTTTATCTGAAAATAACCTTTCCTAATGGTGCAAAATAATTGGGAGGCTGGTGCTTCTTTGATTATCCATAATGTATTAAAATCATGTTCTTTTAAATACTATTTAAGTCAAATCTTCCATCAAGACAGAGCACTCTGAAATAGGCAACTAGTCTGTTAGATAGTCACTCATTTTCAAATTATGTTTAATTTTACTTGTGTGTTTGGGATGGAAACCACTTTTAAGATTTATATGTAGTTATCTATATTTATTTGCCTGTTTATGTGTTTGTTTTCTTTATTTACTACTGTTATGTGTTGTCTGTGAGCGAGTGTGTGCGAGTGTGGGAGGATGGGGGGTGGTTGCGGATATTATCATGAAAAGTGATGGTTAGTATTTAGTATTTGACTATGAAGCACGGACACGGAAACAGTGATACACACAGGTGCGTGGGGGTACATGTAAATATAAAAAAATATAGGGGTATATTTATAAATTGTATTTTTGTAAAAAATACTTTTAGATAGAAGTTTAAAAAAACATGCACTTTGAAGGGCCCAACCGGGTTCGAACCGGTGACCTCTTGATCTGCAGTCAAATGCTCTACCACTGAGCTATGGACCCATCAGTTGATATATGTGCTCATAAAACAATATTGAACGGTTTAAGATTATGCAAATGTGCAAAAATCTCAGTGTCTCAAATTCGTTCTACCGGATTCTAAATGATTAGAACCTTCGAAGAAGAAAAGAAGAGTCTAAAGAGGCAATCTTCCAATCAATTACTCTACAAGATTCTCCCGATTCCTTCTAATCGGGATTACCACGCTAGCTATATATTAATCATGTGAAAATTACTATATATGTTTTTCTTTCGTCTCCCTTCTATATATTAATGCTACTGTATTATTACAGGTACCTGGGATTCTGTTCACACCAATATGCCCGCACTCGTTGTCGTTTAGGCCGCTGATATTGCCGGAGCACGTGACAGTGAGAGTGGTGGTGCCGCCCAGTAGCCGCTGCCAGGCGTGGGTGTCCTTTGATGGAAAGGGCCGGAAACAGCTAGGCCCCGGCGATGCGCTCGTATGCAGCATGGCACCTTGGCCAGTCCCCACTGCTTGCCAATCAGATTCCACTACCGATTTCTTACGGAGCATCCACGATGGTCTTCACTGGAATCTTAGGAAGACTCAGTCCTTCGATGGGCCCCGTGATCCTTAAATATCCTTATTTAATTTGTAGTGTCTTATATACACATATTACAAATATGTTTCGATATATATAGAGGTTATTTATATAATTAATTGAGTGAACATATGATCAATTAATCTTGGTGATCTGGGTAATTAATTAGATGAAGCAAAATATATTAATAATTATGTTTTTTTTAGGGACGAATATTATGATATTAGAAGTTTAAATTGTTTTATAGGATGATATATGTAGTAGGTGGAACTGATATATGTTAAATCGAGTGAGATGAAGATTTTAGGGGCCATTGTGCAACTTTTTGTAGTTTATGGGTAACAAGCAAAATGCAAATTTTTGTAGTTTAGGGGGCATTGTGCAACTTTTTGAATTGTTTAGAAGGTACCGTGCAAAATGCGTCAAAATTCGGGGGCAAAATGCCATTAACCCAAAACTTAATAACGTGAAATAAAGAAATAATAACTACACTCGCCTTTTTATGTCTGTATATGTATGTAATTTTTCAAATGCCCTGCGTAGAATTGTTACACGTGCCGCAACAAAGATAGCAGTAAATATTGGGTACTCCAATTAAGTACGTACCAACCTTGATGTATATATATTTTGAAAAAGCTGAACAAATACTTCATTGTCACCTTCGGGACCTAAAAATTATGCTAGCTAGGCTTCACATGATTTGTGATATATATATATATATATATATATATATATATATATATATATATATATATATATATAGAGTTTAATACATACAGACAAAGTGTGCATGCATGAGTGTAAAACACTCTGTCACTAATTATCATCTTGTCAATAAGTACGTATATGATCCACCCAAACTTATACATTAATGCATGAAAAGTTAAAAACATAAATTCGTCTCAATCTCTATGGCAGCTGCATGCAGATATAACACACTCTATCTAGCACAACATTTTACACTCTGTTACTCTCTCTCTCTCTCTCTCTCTCTCTCTCTCTCTCTCTCTCTCTCTCTCTCTCTCTCTCTCTCTCTAGCACAGGATTATACTCGATCAGGGTTACTGATCTCTCTACTTCTTCTCGACCTCTGATAAGTTCTTGTAGCCGATCATATCAAGATTTTCGAAGGTTTTTGTAGGTATATCCGAAGTATTTTTGTGCATAATTTATTGAACTCTAAATTCTTCAGATAATTTATGTGTGTTTTTTATGTGGTGTACGTTTGGAGAGTGATCGATCTTGGCTGCCGTTTTATAAATTGAATTTCTTATTTAATTTAAATTTTAAGTGGTATCTTGGTTGGTTTATATATAGATCTCTTTTCCTTTAATGGAAATATAAACTAATTAATTAACAAAACAAAAAATAAAAAAATTGTAGGGTTAATTATGCGATTCCGTAATTTGTTGAATACATACACTTGATCAGATGATCGATCTTTTTTCTTTTTCTTGTTTTGTCGATCTTTGCCTGCCGCCATCTCTTTTTTGTCGTTATCATTGTCGTTTTTGTCGTATGTGTTACAATTACTGGAGATCTTAAGAAAGCATTCCGACAATAGGAAAAAAAAAAACGGATTTAATTTTTATTATTATCCGACAAAGGGCGCCTCTTTATGTAGTAATAAATGATTTTTTTGGTAATTTTATTATTCTTAAAGAAATGCCTGAAAATAAATACTATTGTGTTCTTTATTTTTATTGATTATATGAGTTCTTGTAGTTATTTAGACATGTTAATTTAAACAAGTTATATTTAGACACTGACTTGTATACTAGACTGTAATATTCAACTTGATTTCCTTTAATTTTTCATTATTCTAATATATGTATAAATTAATAATAAAAATAAAAATATTGATCAATATTTTGAGTTTTGATTAGAGAAAATGGAAGGTGGCAACGGTAACCAAGCTGTGAACGATAACCAAGCTGTCAATGTTGATCTTACTCTCAGACTGGGAGTTGCAAATGTGGATGACAATGCATTAAATAATAATCAGGTATATATATATATATATATATATATATATATATATATATATATATATATATATATATATATATATATATATATATATATATATTATTTTACTCTTTATATTCGAGTTGTATTCCTATATTAGTTTATTTTAATTTGCTCATTTTTGTATGCTGTAAGGGTTATTTCTGACAACTCACTTAGCTGGTTATAGAAATAGCTTCAACATTAAGAAAAAGGGAAAAAATGTCATGAATTTTTTGCCTCATCATATAAATCATGTTAATTTAATAAATAAAAAAACATGTTAATTAGTTACATGTTCAACATATGCAACCTTAATTAACATATATAGCAAATAAAATGTTACTTATTGCATCATATTAAGCACAATGAGAGCACATAACTTGCACTAGCTATATATATTTACTTCCAATTTTTATGTTTTCTTAAATAAAGTGAATGGATATTATTATTGTTTAATGTAATTGTACGTTAATTCGATAAGGTAAACCGTGCACCCCCCGCGCGTAGACGAAGGGGCGAGCAGGAAGAAGCAAAAGTCTGCGACGAATGCAGAACCGACAACACTCCTCTTTGGAGGAAAGGCCCTAATGGCCCTCAAGTGAGTTTCTCACCTTCGATTTCTTAATGTTTTTGTTTATATTTATTTTTTTTATACAAAAAAAAATTAATCATTGAGAATTCATAAATTCCGATTATTGTCCCTTTTTTTTAGTTGAGTCGTGTAGAAATTACAATTTTATATTTATTGTGCAGACCTTGTGCAACGCATGCGGGTTACGACATGCCCGAGCTTTGAGAAGAAATGCTGAGCAAAATTAGAGGATTATGTTCTTCGATCCTCGATTAAAAACTTTTATTTGATTAATTGGATAGTGTTTTTATATTTATTGGCTCGAATAATATTATGATATTAGATGTTTAATTTTTTTCTAAATTTTGAAATGCACTGCGTACTACCAGTATATATTTTTGCAAATGTCAGAACAAGGTAGCAATAAATATTGGCTAACATTGCAATTAAGTACGTGCCAACCTTGATTTATATTTTGAAAAAGCTGAACAGATACTTATTAGTTGTCACCTTTCGAATTAATTATCTTAACCTAAAATTATGCTTCACGTGATTTGTTATATATATATATATATATATATATATATATATATATATATATATATATATATTTATATATATATATGTTAAATTAATATAACATATATGTAACAAATAAAATGTTACGTTGCATCGATATATTAAGCACATTGAGAGCACATAACTTGCACTAACAAAATTGAAATATATTTTTACTGATTTTTTGAACATGCATTGGAATTTGCCTCATCATCTTTTTTAATAAATAAAATGAATGGCTATTAATCATTATTGTTTTATTTTTTTTGTACTTTAATTCAATAAGGTGAACACTCAAGTGATCGATCGAGTTTGTCAGTATATACTTTCGATTTCTTGGTGTTTTTGCTCATATTTTTGATAAAATAAAATAAAATTATTTCATGTACGTAATATAACTATTGAAAATTCATTCAATCCTAAATTGAATGTACTTTTATTATTATACAAATTAAAGTATTGAGCGATTTTTTTCTTGAATTATCAAAAAGAAAAAAAAATACCTAATCGATCTTGTGTACACTACAAATTAATAAAAAATACTTTTTATAAATATTAATAATTTACTGGAAGATAATTAATATTGGCGTACTTTATTCCACGTACTCAATTTCATATAGGTAAATCACATGGATTATCAATCATATACACTCACTCCAATTTCATGCGCGCACACACACACACACACATACAATAATATATATGTGAGTATTTGATCATGCTTCATGCATGCATTATCTGATCTACAACACACAAATTAAGTAGTACGTACTACTCTAAAGTATTCCAATAACAAATAATTATATCTCCAAATTATTTGCACCCAATTAATTTAATTTAATTGAATTTCAATCAAAATAATGAAACCAAAACTATGCGGCCAATGCACCCCACTCTTGATATTAGGGCTACCCCTTTATTTCATCACATTTTCCTACACAAATAAACACCTAATCTTTCCATCTCCAGATACTTTATTCTTCCCCCTCCTTAAAACCGCGCCATTTTCGCACGACAACGACAATTATTTTTGGCACGTAACGAAGCCGATCGAACAATATTCTCCTCCTCCTCCGACGAATCTCAGCCACATAGTGTTCGGAATCGTCGGCTCGGAAAAAGCATGGAGATTCCGAAAAACATACATAGAATCATGGTGGAGGCCAAATCACACAAACGGATATCTATTCCTGGATAAACCACCGGGCCCACCTCTCCTCCCTTGGCCGGAAACTTCTCCTCCGTTTAGGGTTTCCGATGACCTAACGGATCTTCTCAACAACAAATCCGACATTAGGGCACAAAGAATGGTGCATGGAATAATGGAGGTTTTGAGAGAAGTAAAAGACCATAAAACCCTAAGATGGGTTGTGATGGGAGACGACGATTCGATATTCTTTGTGGATAATATTGTCGATGTTCTTGCTAAGTACGACCATACGAAGTATTATTACTTAGGCGGGCACTCGGAGTTTATTTTGTCGAATTATTATTTTTCGTTTAATCAAGCTTTTGGTGGTGGTGGGATTATGCTGAGCTATCCTTTGGCGAAAGCTTTGGCCGGAGATATCGAGAGTTGTTTGAAGAGATACGTGTTTTTAAATTCCGCTGATAACACAACAAAGGCTTGTATCGCTGATATTGGAGTTAATCTGACACCTCACCAAGGAAATCATCAGGTAATTAATATAATATAATAAAAAATATTAATTTTGATATTAGGGTTTTAAAAAAAACCAAACAAATGTTTGCAGGTTGATTTCCGTGGCGATATTTCGGGCTTTTTATCAACTCACCCACTGGCCCCACTGCTTTCACTTCACCATTTCGACATGGTGGACCCGATCTTCCCGGCCAAGGACCGTTTCCAGTCCACGCGCCACCTCATGACGGCGGCGAAAGCCGACCAGTCGAGGATGCTGCAGCAGACCATCTGCTACGACCGGCGGAGCAACTGGTCTCTCTCGATTTCGTGGGGCTATTCGGCACATATTTACGAGAGGATAATGCCGAGGAGCTACTTGATAATTCCGATCGAGACGTTTACGCCGTGGTTGAAGACTCTTAAGCCTCCGAATTACATGTTCAACACCAGAAGCCGCTCCTCCGCCGACCCCTGTGAAGCTCCTCACGTTTTCTTCTTCGATTCCGTCCAGGAGACGGCCGCCATTGGCAGCGGCGGCGGAATCGTCACCAGCTACTCGCGCGCGTGGCCACGCCCTCTCCCGGCGTGTTTGTCTAGTGGCAATCATTCTGCGGACTTTATTCAAAGAATTCTAGTCTTTTCGCCACCGACAAAGCGCACATCGGTACGGTGAATCTCTCTCTCTCTCTCTCTCTCTCTCTCTCTCTCTCTCTCTCTCTCTCTCTCTCTCTCTCTATATCTATATATGTATGTATATATGTATAATATCTTTGTTTTTGTGTAATTACAGACGGATAGATGCGAGTGTTGTGATATTATTAAAGCCGACGGCGGCGAGGCGGAAGTTATAGTAAGGGAATGCAGGTCAAATGAAATAATTGCATGAATATATATATATATATATGTTTGTACGTATTCTTTTTCAGAAAAAAATAAATTAATATATTTTCTCTAATTTATGATTGGATAAAGGAAACAAGAAATTAAAAATTGAAGTCAAACATAACATTAATGCATGAATATGAATAAGTAAATATTTCATGCGGATTATATTTTCTCTTGTATCAATTATATTAATCGAATGAAGTAAATAATATTAATTAGTACACATGCCAACACAATGAAATGTTTTATATGATGGGATTTGATGTAACTTATATAATCGAATGCCGTATGCGCGTGTTGAATGCGCTATAACTATAGGATTAATGTTTGGGTCTTTAATTTCCTGACACCAATTGATTTTAGAATAACTGGTAACGTCTGAGATTCGTCCTACAAGATAATAGTTCAACGTGTTTATAATTTCATCAACGTTGTGTATATGAAAATAATATTTTTTGGTGGTGGATTAAGTTTTCCTACAATGGGATGCTCTCGATGAAATATCGTGATTCGAATTAAACATATCGTGAATTTGGAAGCTTCCCGACTGGGAAAAAAAATCTCAATCGTGGATTCGGAATTGGACATCAACCAAATCGGGCATAAATTTGATTTTCGAAATATCATATTTCAAAAGCATTAAACCAATTTATGTATATTGAATTAGTCACCTACCTTTTTTACCTAAAACTTTTGGGCAATATTGAGAAAATATATAAAAAAATATATATTTTTCTTGATTACAAGTGCAAATAATTAATTGGCTAAATCTCGAAATCATCTTTTCCATTTTTACAATCTATTCAAATAATATTACCTTATATTGACTCTAAACAATAAACTAAAAATCCAATTTTCCCTTGTAAGAAACTGATATAATAAAAGCATAAACAAATAAGATTGATTTCCATAAATGTTTTCATAGGTATTATGTTTGACTTAGAGAAATATATAATTTTAATTTATACATCACTTTTAATTTTTCTTACAAGTAGTAGTCATGTTCTCCAATATATAATTTTTTATTTATCATTCTCTTTTCTCTTACAAGCAGTCACGTTTTCACATTATATTTTCCAAATCTCTCTTTCTTGTAGTGTGTATATATATATATATCTATATATATATTATATATATTTCATATTAGTTTGCAAGAAATTACAATCAAATGGAGCCAAAATTGAGTAGCCAAAGCAACGTAGTACTGATATTTGGGCTCTCCCTTTCTTTATTCAGTGTTTTTTATATAAACAAACACCTAATTTTTCCAGCTTCAAATTTCTTCTACCCTCAATTAAAAACTACACCATTTTCACAATCATTTTATTCCGAAAATAATCACAATAATTTTCCGCAAATTACAAAAACGGCACAAATTTCTCCGACGAATCTCAGCCACATAGTATTCGGAATCGTCGGCTCGGAAAAAGCATGGCAATTCCGAAAATCGTACATAGAATCATGGTGGAGGCCGAATCACACAAATGGGTATTTATTTCTCGATGTGCCTCCGGGCCCACATCTCCTCCCTTGGCCGGAAACTTCTCCTCCATTTAGGGTTTCCGATGACCTAACGAAGCTTCTCAACAAAACCGACATTAGGGCACAGAGAATGGTGCATGGAATAATGGAGGTTTTGAGAGAAGTAAAAGACCATAAAAACCTAAGATGGGTTGTAATGGGAGACGACGATTCGGTTTTTTTTGTGGATAATATTGTCGATGTTCTTGCACAATACGATCACACGAAGTATTATTACTTAGGCGGGCATTCGGAGTTTATCTTGTCGAATTCTATTTTCTCGTTTAATCAGGCTTTTGGTGGTGGCGGAATTATGTTGAGTTATCCGTTGGCGAAAGCGTTGGCCGGAGATATGGAGAATTGTTTGAAACGATACGTGTTTTTAAATTCCGCTGATAACACAACAAAGGCTTGTATTGCAGATATTGGAGTTAATCTCTCACCCCAGAGAGGGAATCACCAGGTATTAATTTTTTAATTAATTTCTATAATAATTTCTATAATATTTTCACATTAATTGTGTTAAATTAATTGATTGTGTTAATTAATCACCAGGAATTTTGAGTTAGGTAAGCTTGTAATTTTTTATTTTTTTTTCTGGTTATGAATTACAAAATCCACACTTAAAGATTTAGCCATATAAATATTTTTAAAAAAGGGTAAGGTACACATATTTGACCGTTGACTATTACTTTATTGTTTTTATACTCCCAATTTGATTATATCATTTATAATTAAACCCTTATATTTCATCATCTTTTGCAAATTGACCCCTGCAATAAACAAATATTGCAGATCGATTTCCGTGGCGATATTTCAGGTTTCTTATCGACCCACTCACTAACGCCGTTACTCTCCCTTCACCATTTCGACATGGTGGACCCAATCTTCCCAGCCAAGGACCGTTTCGAGTCCACGCGCCACCTCATGACGGCGGCGAAAGCCGACCAGTCAAGGATGCTGCAGCAAACGATCTGCTACAACCGCCGGAATAACTGGTCCTTCTCCATTTCTTGGGGCTACTCAGCGCAGATTTACGAGAGAATAATGCACCGGAGCTATTTATTAATGCCAATCGAAACGTTCACGCCGTGGTTAGAGACGCCGAATCCGCCGGCGTATATGTTCAATACCAGAGGCCGCTCCGGCGATCCCTGCGAAGCTCCTCACGCTTTCTTCTTCCAATCAGTCGAGAGAACAACGGCGGCTGAGGACGGCGGCGGAGGAATTATCACCACCTACTCTCGGGCGTGGCCGCGCGGCCTTCCGGCGTGTTTGACAAGTGGCAATCATTCTGCGGACTTTATTCACACAATTCGAGTCTTTTCGCCGGACACCAAACGCACTACGGTTAGTTCGATTAAACTTTTAAACTGATACCTAGGGGTGGGCATTCGGGTCGGGTCGGGTTATTCGGGTTATTCGGGTCGGGTTATTCGGGTTTTTCTGCAAAAAAAAAATTACCCGAACCCGACCCGAAATAACCGGGTACCCGGCAACCGGGTACCCGGTTATCTCGGGTCGGGTTCGGGTCGGGTTCGGGTTTTGCTATTTTCCT